CACCCACACCCACACCCACACCCACGCACACCCACACACACACACACACACACACACACACACACACAACACCTCGCACTACACAACACACAACACGCGCAATGAGGCCTGTTTCACATATCTGGGACGAATGCTAAGGCCTGTTTCGCACATCTGGGCTGGCTTTTAGGGTTTAGGGCTCAGGGCTGTGGGCTGGCTTTCGGGTTTGGGAGTTGGGGCTCAGGGCTGTGGGTTGGTTTCAGGGTTTGGGATTTGGGGCTCAGGCTGCGGGCTGGGTCTAGGGTTTAGGATTTAGGACCCGCGACTGTGGGCTGGCTTTAAGGTTTAGGATTTAGGGTAGTTTAGAATTTCGGGCTCAGGGCTGTAGGCTGGCTTTCGGGTTTAGGATTTAGGACCCGCGACTGCGGGCTGGCTTTAGGGTTTTAGGATTTAGGGCTCAGGGCTGTGGGCTAACTTTCGGGTGAGGTATCCGTGCGTACACGCCGTCTCGTCCGTGTCATCCTCGCGTCCTGCATGCGCTTCCCCCCGCCGCGCTCCCGCCTCACCCATTGACTCTTCTCGCTTACCTTTCGCTCACTTGCTCTCACTCCCTCTCTTACGCTTTCACTAAAATTTGTGTGTGGGGTTATCCGGTCCTTTCATTTTTGTAGTATCTTGGAGGGAAATGGACTTGGTTTCGAGACCTTGAGGCCCCTAACCCCTCCCTGTTGTACTACTGTTGATCTACTGCTGTACTACTGATATACACTACTATACTCGTACTGCACTGTACAGTAGTACTGTACAACAACAACAACTACTGCTACTACTACGACTACTACGACTACTACGACTACTACGACTACTGTGATTACTACGACTTATACGACGACGACTGCTTACTCCTGCTCCTGCTACTACTACGACGACGACGACGACGACTACTACTACTACTACTACTACGTACTACCTCTACCGCTACCACTACCACTACCACTACCCTCCTACTACTACTACTACTACTACTACTACGACTACTACTACTACAACTACTACTACTGCTGCTGCTGCTGCTACTACTACTACTACTACTACTACTACTACTATAGTACCACTCTAGTACCACTATACGGCTGCACTATTATTGTAATTGTACACGGTACAGTACTACCACTGTACTGGTTTACTAGGCCTCAGCCTTTGGTCGATTGTGGGGTGGAGTGTAGGATGAAAGAAAAAGGGGAGTGTAGCATGAAAAAAACTTTTCCACGTGAAGGCATTTTGAGTCCTAGTAATTATCTTGGCATGATCGACAATGAATTTCGAGATTTTGGGACGTTCTAAACCTTCCTATGGTATTGCTGTCTGTTGTACTACCGCAGTGCTACTATCTCTTCATTTTCATGCTGTACTATTAATGAACAACTACTATACTATAACTGCACTATTAGTAAGTTACCACTACACTGCGTCTGGATTGCTGCTGCTCAACCTTTCTGAAGCTGGCTCGCATTGCACATCGACAGCACCAGGCAGTAAACGAATAAGGATTGAAAGTGGGATTGAACGATTGAATTTCAAGCTGCACTTGGACCCACGATCCAAGATTCTGCCAGGAGTCTTGGGGCAGAATCTTGGATCCAGATTGAAACTGGATGGAAGGCTGGAATTTCATTCTGGGCCGGATCCAAGATCCTAGATCCAAGATTCTGCTCCAAGACCCCTAGGAGAATCTTGGATCTTGGATCCGGGCCCAGATGGAAATTCCATCCTTCCATTCGGTATTCACTCTTGCCACGGTGCTGCCAAGTTTTGACACACTTTGTGTATCTGTGTGTGCGCACGTGTTTGTTTGGTATAGGCTTATATTAAAGTGGAGAGGCGGTCATAAGCAGGATATGATGCACAGAAGAGCGTGGGAAGGATACAATGAGACTATGACGGATTGAAAAGCGTGGATTGTTTTTGGGGTTACGATATGTGTATATATATATATACACATACATACATACATACATACATACATACATACATACATAGACAGATATAGACATATATATATATATACACGTACATACATATATACTTATATAACTTATATACATACATACATACATATATATATATATATATGTATATATATATATATCTGCATACTTGTATATATATATATACACATACATATACATCTATGATTTTTTACACATATATATACACACCTGTATATGCATGTATATATATATATACACGCATATATACACACACATAATCACACATATGTATATATATATATATATTTATAAATGTATTCTTATAGATATATATATATATATATATTTATGTATACGTGTGCGTGTGTGTGTGTGTGTGTGTTCCTTCTCGCGAGCCTACACTTTCCTGGGTTATCTTCGAAGATGCATTGCAACATGAACAGAAGTAGCATAAACTCAGTGTTACCAGCCGTTGAATTTTCATCCATCGAATTCTGCCGTCGTGAGCTCTTGGGGAATAGGACCTTTTGGGTTACCACCGATCTTGTTGCATGGAAGCATATTTCTCGAGACAGGCCCTCCAAAAAAGACAAGCTTCCCAGGGCTTTGAAAACAACTTGTCGAGGCGTCCCGAAAAGGGCCAACACCGGAAACTCAAAATGAGTTCATTTGTCGGAACAGTCCCAAAAACACAAAAACCGAACCATAAACACCAAAAACAGAAAGGCTCGAATGTGGTTTTTGAAGTTTTGTTGTTTTCTTGGGTACTGTCTTGTATGTTTTGTTTGTTTTAATTTTCCTTTTTTTGTGGGACCGCCTCGAAATCCTGTGCCCAATGAAAGGCAATTCTTGAAAGGCCATCGTGCGAGGTTTGCCTCAATTTTAGGGTTTGGGTGCTGGGGCATGTAGGGTTTCAGGTGTTGAGAGCTGAGTTCTTCATTTCGGGTTTCAGACGGCTTTGGGGGGTTGTGGGTTTGTTGGGGTTTTGGGGGTTGGTAAAGGGGGCTGGGGGTGATTTTTTTTTTTTGGGAGGGGGGGGGCTGGAACCCAGGCTAACGTTTGAGAAACGTGAACCTTTCAATGTACCGAAGTCTGCCAGGTTTAGAACATGGTATCTACGGTGCTAGAACATAGTTTGTCTCGTTGTACCAAGCTACTTAGACTTTTCCTCTTACTGGTGTTTGTGCAGTGCACGTATCTGTTGCTTTGGATTTTGATTCCAAGTAAACTTAGGGTAGTGTAACAAATACTTGGTAAAGTGTGGAAAGAACTGAGCTGAGAGTGACCGCACACAAGCCAGCCTTCCAAACCATTAGATCATAAATAGTCCAGTTGTTTTGTTTTGCTTAGATTGTTGTTTTCCTCCACTTCCAGCTGGAATGCAGAATCGTACGACCCAGAATCACACATGACCAGCTAACGCCACAGAATCTGACCGGCTACGACAAACAAGTCAAGGAATCCAACAATTAAGTTTAGCATAAATAACTAACAGGTCGGGAATCAAAACACGGAAATAACTGAACATACACAACCACAGCAATAACAAATCAAGAAAAGTCGAACACTCTGGCCGTCCGGAGCTTGTTTTTTTCACGTTGTTTTGGACTGAGGGACGACTCTGAGTTCGGCCATGTCCTCACTGTAACAAGGTACCAGATCTCTGTTGCAAGATCAAGCAATGAAGAGCAGATAGACACAATGGCACGAAGCTGTGTAAGCGGAAATGCTATGCAACTGTGAGGTCGAATAGTGACGAGATAACTTGTCCATGAGGTGGGGCTAACGACGTTACGAAGCATATCATGGCGTATACCACATGAGTATAGGAATTATTTGTCCCTTCCTTTGTTTTTAAATCTCTCTCTCTCTCTCTCTTTCTCTGCTTCCTCTTGCCCTCAGGAAGAGACGGCCTGGCCCCAAGCACATCCGTCATCCAGTCTAGTCATTCGCTTCCTGGGGAGCTCACACGGTCGCCGTGTGCAAGCATGCCAGGGAGATTCTTGTGCGACAGGGTCAACTTTCAGTTTGTTTCGCCTTACTGGAAAGCTCAACCGAGTACTCAGCAGACGTGTCTCCAACTTTGATTTTATCTTCATGGTGCAAGGTACAACAACGAACTGTTGAATTTTCGTCTGGGCTTGTTGGGCTTAGCTGTAATGGTGATAGGAAAGCATTGACTGCGAATGGCTTCAGCAAAGCAGCATTCCTTGCTCACGAGGTCCACCCTCAGCTTCCAGGAAGAACAAATTTGCGTGAAGCGCGGGGCAAGATCCTGTTTCACGGGAACTAGACATGGGAGCGGCAGCGATGCCGGCTTGGTGACGGCCCAGCTTCACGGCTCTGCTGGCCGCCATCGTGGCGATGTCCAGCATTGCCCATGTAGATACAGATAATGTCCTTGGCATGCAGGTTGCCACAAGAATCTGCAGCTTTGTGTGGCATGTGCATTGCAAGGTTTCTTCTCCATACAACTTGAATCCACGAGTGGTAGCCAGAGTCGCTTGGCAATGAGCCCGTTTCAACCTGTAGCTGCATGTACAACAAGCGCCGATTGAGAGCTCCACAGCCATCTATGCCCAGGGTCACTGCTTTGGGTTTGGGGCCTGTGCGTCATGAGGCCGTTTCGATACCAGACGCTGACAGAAGATGTTGAAGCTTCCGACGATCCAGATGTACCAACATGCCAATCGAGAACTGGCCCATTGCTTTGGTGTTTGGCGCTCCTGCAGTTGGCGATTATACTAGTGTTTGCCGTAAGAAGCGCTGGAGGCCCTTTGCATGCACTTCGAGAGATCGGAGTTGGCGACATAATTCAAAAATTTAGCATCTTCCAGTTCAGCATGGCTATGTATGAAAACGAATTTGGAGACACGGATCCGTTTCAGTTCAGATGCCCAGTGCCGGGGACTATTGCGGGTGGCAACGACAACATGACCTGCTGCAGGACCTACAACAACAAAGGCTGGCCCTTCCAGTTTCGAGAGTGTGAAACCTTCGGGTTTTGCACGACTTGCTGGGTTGAGACGGAGAAAGCATCCATGCAACAGCACCCTGCCATTGAGTTTGCGGGCGCTTCTTGGGCGGCAACTATCAGTGTCATGAACAAAGCGGAAGCAAAATCCGGGTGGCTAAGCCAGAATTTGCAGAATGCGTTTGGCAACCTCGGTGTATTGTCCAAAGACAAGGTCGATGATGCACCAGTACGAGGCAGTTCGATGCGGGTTAGAATTAGCAGGGGCATCATGAAGGGAGAGACCGACTCCTGCCCGGGCATAGATGATTGGCACATCGACATGCTGAATGAAGACAAAGAAAACATTCACGCACGAGTCTTTAAGTCACCACGAACAAAGCTGGCCATTGTTGCCTTTCGTGGTACACAATTCAAGTCCATGAAAAATTGGGAGGTTGATGCTGACATTCAGAGAATACCACTTAACCTTCCAAACGGCAATGTCACGTACGTGCACGAAGGCTTTCTGAAGGCTTTGGAGCACATTCTACCTCATGTGAAGAGGTGGGTAGATGGTTACATCTTCGGACTCTTCCAGGCCGTGCCGTCGGACTGGAAGCTGATTTTTACTGGCCACAGTTTAGGGGGAGCGCTTGCGCTTCTGGCGGCCACGAAAAGCTTCGCAGAGCGCTGGCCCAGGACACCGGAGGCCGTGGTGGTTTTCGGCGTGCCCCGTTTTGCAGATGCGGCCTTGGATCACTGGTGGCAGCAGAACAAGCTGTGCCAACACCTTGTCCGTGTCAACACTTACAACGACATGGTGCATGTCATGCCTTTCCAGAAGATGTGGAGCGCTTTGAATGTAGCGACGGGTGCTTATGACTGCTTCACTCGACCTGTGAACTGCATAAGACAGTCCACGAAGCATGTGCAGCATGCCCTTGCTCATCACTCGGATGGACTTGGTTTGATTATCAGTGATCAGTGGTCACACGTCTGTCCCCAGAGTGAAATTCTGGTGCCAAGCCGTGTGAAGGGAGTCAATGAGCAGCTCGAGGAAGTATCATTGTTCGGAGGTGTGCTTTCTCATCTGAATGAAAACTGCCTATACGGATACATCTACGGAGTGATGCACAGCAACATTTCGACTTTTGACAAATATTGCAAAGTGTCGCCTTCCGTCTGTGCGAATCTGACACATCTTGGACCGTAATCTGCGCAGATGCAGGGCACGGAGTGTACTGTCAGCGGCGTGGGAGCTGTTTCACAACCATGGCCCACCATGGATCACCACTCGGAGGAACAGGCTTGAGATTAAGCTTGGCTTGTCTCAGCTGAGGAGAAGGTGCAGCGTGGCATCTTGTGAAGTGCTATCTTTGCGTTTGGCTCAGGGGAGTAGTTCGGTCCCTCGGCCCGGCAACCCGAATACCGAGTTGCTACAGCCAGTTTCACGACACAGGGTCTAAAATTGCCCCTGTATCCGTGTAGGATGCGAGAGCAGTCGCTGTGAGGCCTGCATGGCACTAGCAGCTTGGTGGTTTTTATCCTTGATGGGCTTTTGCGGATATTTCATGGCAGATGGAGGTCGTTCGAGCAATTGCCTAAGTTCTAGATTGGATGGTCTTGTGTCCATGCGGCTTTCTGGCATCCCAGGCACTGCAGAGTGTCCCCCGGCGTTCGAGCCGGGACGGTCCTGTAGACGGGGAGGCGCAAAACTTGACTCCAAGCTCGACCAAAAACTGTTGGATCTCTGTGCCAATGTTCAGGCTGATGTTGCCAAGCCGAGCTTTCGACGACCGCGACATGCGTTCACTCCTGAGCCGTCTGCTTGGCGATGCTCCCGAGCTTGGGCCTCTTGGCTGAGGTTTGGGAACAGGCACTTGCTGGCCTTTCGAAAGAACCAATTCTCAGAGTTGGTTGAGAGGACCGCCGGAGGCTAAATTCCACGATTTTCTTCGGGTTGCCTCGAGCTGTTGGTTTCCAAGGTCGATGCGCTGAAGAGCAACCTAGTTGAGGTGGAAGAAGCCTGCGAAACTCGGAGTTGCCAGCAGCAGCAGAGTGCCGCACAGGCGTCTTTGCAGGATGTGCAGAATGTGCTGGCCAAGATCCGCATTTTGGCTAGAAGATATCGCCTGATTTCACATCGGACCTCGGCAATACTCAGGAAGGCAATTCGATGAGGTTCGCTGTGAAGCTGACAGGAAGGAAGCAGAGCTGTGGCTCGGATCAGCATTTTGTCGGAATCTCCGAAGCTTCGCTGCGGGTCTTCGCCTGCAGGGTCACCCTCCGCCAAGAGATTCGTTTCTGGGAATCGGAGGCAAAGCCTCCCGAGGAGAGACGACGGATACTTTGAAAAGGGAAAAATACTGTGTGTGTTTTTCTTGCAGAGGAGCAGGATCACTACAACGGCTTTGTTCGGAAGTCCGTCGTAGAGAAGCTCGGCCAGGCCGCCTTTAAGCCGATTCAAGTCGTGGGCTTAGCCATGCTTTTTTTATCAGGCTTCGACCGAGCTGGACCAAGCTCTCGAGACGCAGAAAGTCTACCAGCACATGGCGAAGTCCTTACTAATGCAGCTCATGACCTGGCCAGGAAATTTCAGGCACTTGAGCTGCAAGCTGGGAGGTTGAGAGGTTGCTGCGGGAGCAACGAATCCTGCAGCAGAAGGCCATGGCTTCAGCAGCTTGGACTTGGCATTTTTGCGCGCAAGCTGCCAGGTGCTCATGATGGAGAACTATCTGGACCGGAAGACACGCGAGGTCACGTAATTCGGGGAAGAAAGGAAACTACCAGTAACTACCAGGCATCCTAGTCCTAGTGTGCATCAGTCATGCTCAGCAAAAGCTGGAGAGTACGAGGGATTGCAGCCTGTGCTCAATTCACGACTAATGCTGGGAATCTCCTTCACCAAGCAGCCTCAGCGTGGCAACTCAGGCAGCTTCACCTTCCCGAGTAGTCTAGATCTCCAGCACACTCATCGCTTCTCAGTTCTGTTTATTGTGCTGACTTATTGCAACATGACTTGTTGCAACAGGTCGAAGCGAAGCAGCACTTCAGCCGCCGCATCAATGAAGACAAGGCACATGCTGGCGTGTGTGGTGCGCGTGTGCGCACGCACAGATCTTCCAAAATCCGCTGCTTTGAATAAAAGATTAGACCTTAATTTTTAAATCATATTAGGGGTATTATGATAATATTCCTGAATTAACGGATGTTGGAAGGCCTGAGTGTGTGTGCGCCCCCTATCTTTGCCCTAGTCTTTTCGGATAGACCCCTTTACATCGACCCTTCCCTCCAGCTGTACATGCACCTATCAATGTCACCTCTCCGTAGCTGGGTAGATCCCCTATCAGTAGCGCCTGTCTTTAACTAGGAGAGACCCCTATCCATAGGCCCCTACCAAGCTCTGTGATAGCTCCCTTCCCCCCGGTCCCTCCTGACCTGCATAAACACCTGCCCGCCTGGCTAGGTCACCATGTTGACCAGTTTTGATGCGTGTGCGTGTGTCTCTCTCTCTCTCTCTCCGCTCTCTCTCTCTCTCTGCATGGGTGGGGGTGCCGCGTCTTTCGGAGTAGTTGACAGACATCTCCTTAAGGATACTGATTTCGAGAGCCCTGAGGTGGAACAGATTGTCAAGTTGGAGATGCTTGAGCAGGACGGTTCAGCACGTGGCCGCAGTCAAGGGGTATTAAGAGATTTTTCTTGCTGTTAAAAACTGTTGGGCCGGACCGGCTGTTGTCAAACGAACACTATGCGGCAAGGACATGGATTTGGAACGCACAGTGCGCACAGCCGCGATGAGTGACCTGTCGGCAGCCGTTGAAAGGCCGAACTGCCTCGCCGTATCTATTGTCCAACCCGATGCTGAGAACTACAACGTAGACCGTAGACTGTTGCTGTTTTTGGAAGGCGCCGTCAGGATGTCAACGAGGCTGAGTACTTTGAAACCTGGCGGTACGAAGCTGCACTCGAGGCTATGGTCTCCTTGAGCAGCTGGGCTTTTCGAGTAGCGCCTGAATGTGAATGTGCAGGCCGCGACTGAAGCCTTTGAGGCAACGGCCGGGCGGTACAGGACGATGCTGCATTGCATGCAACGAGCTGCAGATCCGTCTTGTGTGCATGATAGCGCGACAACACAGCAAGGCTGACATGTCACTCACATAATTGTCAAACGATGGCCGATCATCGGAAACCGCGCCACCAAACATGTGCCGAAATAACAAAGTATTGTACAGAGTTGCAGTTCAGGCAGTGTGCATTGCACGAGACTTCAACCTCCACTCAGTCAGAACGGCATGAGCGTAGTTTCGAAAGCGCAGCTTGCGACCGCGGGTTGATATTCTGTCGACAGTCACGAGTTAGTACACAAAGCTTGTTTGTTGGAGCCTATGTAAGACTAGGTACTGTAGACAAGTGTAGCACATGATGGGCCGACACCTCGTTGTCTTCTGTCTTCGCAATCAGGTTCTTAAGTGGCAGCAAACACACATAGGCATGCTTGGGCCAAAGATGCCTCACTCGGCTTCAAACAACAAGACTATGTACAGCAGGCCCAGAGCTCTGCGGCTCGTCACGATTGGGGTTAGAGATAGCGTTTTACTTTTCGCAATTCGCGAAACTTCGCGATGCGCCGCCTGCGTCAGCTTCAGACGGCAAGCTTATCGGCATTGATGGCCAGAGTCTCTGCAACGACGGAGTGGTGCAGGTTTTTCTTCTGGTGCAGCGTCCAGCCAGCACACTCGCTGGAAAAGCGATTCTTCGTGGTCGACGAGTTTCATCAAAATTCCGACCATCAGCAGAAAACCCTCAGGCTTGTGGGCGTTGCAAGCTGTCTCGCGCTGTGCCAGGAAACGGCTCGGGGAAAGGCGTGCGGCGCTCCGCATGGATCCAGAGAGCACGGACAAGTGCCTCGCAACGTTCGCGGCTCCAACCACAACGGCCAGAGTTCCGGTAACGAATCACGACCAGCTCGACTAGGCTCTCCGGAGAAGTTTGCTGTCGTCAACTTTCCGGTTTTCCGACTAAGAGTTCAAACATCGTATACATGCATCATTGTCAGCTCTTGAGAGGGCCACGCTGAGAGTGCAGTGCTTGCGCTTGTGTTTGAGCTTCTCGCGAAAACCCGGCGCAACAAGATGCAAGATGCAAGATGCAAAC